AGGGGGGATTTTGTCTTGAATTTGTTTGACTTACTGCAGAGAGGAAACGGCCCATTAGCAGGACTCCTGTGCAGGACCGTCTTGTGGGCAGTGAGGACAGCCAGGCCCAGCGGGACAGGCTCTGTTCAGAGCTTCTGAAGATGGCCGCGGGGGAGGGGAGGGCGCGGGACACTGGGTAACGGACACGCTGCGGAGGCCACACCCCACATTCCCGTCCTGACCACTCAGCTTGCTCTGCTGTGCCCAGTGCAACCCTGTCCTACTTTCAAAAGGTTCTCAGCATGACTATCTGCACCCCCCTCCACTGCCCCTCGGACGTGAGCTCCTGGGCCGGCGCCACACATCGTAGGTCCCCGCACCCCGAGAACGCGCGGAGGCCTCCAGTCCCACCCGTCTGACCCAGGGGTCACGTGCACGTCCTGCAAAGCCAACTGTCTGAGACGCCCGAGCTTCAGGAGAGAAGGGTGCCCACGTCTGCACGTGTGCCAGAAACGACCCAGTGTGGTGGGGGCGGCAACAAGAGTGCGCTCAGCCTGCACAGTCACCCTGTTCTTCCTCCTGGGCTCTCTCCTGTGGGAGGTGCGGGGTGACTCCTAAGGTACACACGTGTGCACATGTTATTTAAGGTGCTGTCTTTTCAGTGGGCTGAGAATGAAAGTAAACCGTAACTTACTAGGCATTAAGTAGCCACTTAACCGGTATCTCTCAAATCACAAGAATCCAAAATCTGCTATTAGAAAAGTCTGGGACCCCTGAGTAGTAACTTTCTTATCTTCAGGATGCCCAGGAAACTTCTATTTAATAAATGCACACTCAGACCATTAAAATGTTCTGAAAATAAAATTTTCCATGCAAAAAAACAGCCTATGATATGCCAACTGGACAATTAATATCACTTAATTAATTAAATGTGAACTTAGTGTAACCTGATCACTGAGACAGCCCTCCCTCTCATTCTTAGGAGAGAAAGTGATGAAAAGCACCTGAGCTCGGCCGTGAGGGAACCACGGCCTGGACCCAGCACTCACCGAGCACAACCTCCGCCTCCGACCTTAGTGTCTGACGAGGCCCCCGACAGGGACGCCGCTTCTCCCCGCCTGCCTCCTGCTGCGCCCACTCAGACGGTCATTACCAGCAGCATCTTGTTCATTGTGGCTGCAATGCTGGAGGGCCCTTGGGATAAAAATAAATACCCCTCCGGCGTTGTAACGGGCGTCCTTCTATATCTGTGGGCTGCTAGTGTCGTCAACTGTTGGTTTGTATATACTTGTTTTACTTAAACCTGTCAATAAACTCCACATCTCAACATATAACCGAGGGGAAAATGCCACACAGATGACAAGCAACAGCAGCCTGTTGGTAGGGACAATGAGACGTGACCGCCACTGGGCCCTGCGGCCCCACCGGATGCCGGGTTCCTGCCAGGGGACCACCTGCTGTGTGTGGACGGCGTGGCGCCAGCCCTTCACACGGTCCGGTCCGGAGGCTCCTCCCGCTGCAGGACGGCTCTGCTGCTCTGCCGACACAGGCTGCTGCCTGCGCTGCTGTTGCTAAGCAAAAGGCACAGTGGCCTTGGAGGCCGGGCTGTAAGGGTCACCACGAGTGTAACCAAGGAACTAAGAGATCGACGTCGAGGCGGCGCCCAGACCCCTGGTTGTTACAGGCAAATGCCTGCTGTCTGCCCAGCGCGCAGGAGAGGACGCAGCACCCACAGAGGCCCTGCAAGCCCCGCACCTCGCACTGGACATGCTGCCCCCGCAGCAGTCCCACCTGCCGACAGTGATTCTGGCGCCGAGTGGAGCAGTTGGGTAAAACAGCAATTTGGTAAGTGAGGCTATCAAAACAGGAGAGTGACAGCTATCTGCCTTTCAAAGCCTTATTTTACTGAATGAGACAGAGCTTGGGGGGTGAGCATCTAAAACGAGTGTTCTACCAACACAGCTGTCCAGGCCCCTTGGTCCAGGGTCCTCCGGAAGGTTCTGACCCTGGGGTTTATGAAATAGCTGGAGTGCCATCCCCTGGAATAGCTCCACGTGGCAGTGGCTAAGTGGGGTCTTGGATCACCTGCTGGTGGGGCTCCCCCAGGGGACACTGCTCCCCACAACAGAGAAGGCAGGGGAACCCGTCTCAGGAACCAGGTTCTGCAGTGATTTCTTCGAGGGGCTGGGGGTACCTTCCTTGGACTAGAAATCAAGCGAGACTTGGGGCCCCTGCAGAGCCCTGGCAGCCACAGGGCCATGGGAGGTGCCCCAAGCCATCCCGTGATCGGAACGTTCCGGGAATGTGGGGCTGCAGGGGCGGCATCTGAAAGGGAGGCTGCGATCACTCTGCAAGGAGGCCGGGAGCGGGATTCTCACCACAGCAGCACGTAGTCACCTCGCAACACCTTCCACCACCGAGCCTCCCTTAGTCGTTCCTGGCAAATCCCTCAACGCTGATGCCATAGATTATTCTAGAAGGTGCTTACCTGGAGATCAGGATGCACAGCTTGAATTCTGAAACCAGGAACCAGAAACTGATTACTTATCTCTGAAGGAACCCACATCCCAGTAAGCTTCAGGTGCCAGCCCCATCCCTGCTGAGCGCTGGCCCTGCCTGCTCACGGTGCTGCCACAGCCATCGTCCTGCCCATGTGCTGGTTCTCTAAAGAAAGGCATTGGTTTTGATTTGCTCTCCGACTTTAAACAGTGATGCTCTGAGTCAGAATAAAAAGCCCTACACAGTCCCATTGCAAAGCCATTTCAATAATGCTGACTGCTCTTTCAAAATGAGTCTGTTTTGTACCTTAAAAGTCGATTATTTAAAATACTAGAGATTATTTAAATACCATTCATGCACTGGGGGTGGGGGCCCCCAGCCCGGCCTATGCCCTCTTGTAGTCTGGGACCCCTTGGTGGACATCCCCCTGAGGGGTCCTTAGCGCTGCCGTGGAAGGGGGAGAGGCTCCCGCCACCACTGCTGTGCTCGCCAGCCCTGAGCCCTGCTTCTGGTTGAGTGGCGCTCCCCCTGTGGGAGCGTAATGACCACCAGGGGGCAGCTGCTGCATCGAGTGTCTGCCCCCTCGTGGTCAGTGCACATAGCAAGTGGTATTCTGCCGTTTGGTCAATTTGCATATTGGGGTTTTATTATATAAGATGACCCAGTCCAGCCAGCATGGCTCAGTGGTTGAGCAATGACCTATGAACCAGGAGGTGACAGTTTGATTCCCTGTCAGGGCACATGCCCAGGTTGTAGGCTCGATCCCCAGTGGGGGTGTGCAGGGGGCAGCCAATCAGGGTTTCTCTCTCATCACTGATGTTTCTATCTCTCTCCCTCTCCTTTCCTCTCTGAAATCAACAAAAATATATTAAAAAAATAAAATATGACCCTAAGTCAACTACAACTGGAAGTTTCATTCCAGCAGACGGAGAGCAGCACCTGAGATCTGGTGGGGGGACCCTTGGTGCAATGATGCACATGCAACTCTCCCACACGGATCGTCGCACACAGACACCACGACTCCCAGCATAATGACCCTGCTGCCCAAACAGCATGAGGATCCAAAGGGCATAGTCCACCACCGTAGTAACGGGCCACGGTCAATGACAAATCATTAGTCCGCCCCAACAACTCATGATTTCATGCCAACCACACATTTCAAATAGCGCCCAGAGGAACTTGCCAAATTGGTCTGTTCTCCAACTCTCCCCTTTTTATTGCAGAGCTACTGCTTCTCCCTGAGACCGAAATGGCCCTGTTGTCTCTGTAATGACAATGTTGTCTCTTTAGGCCTGGGACGCGTCCATCCACCGAGTGCTCTGTCCCCCAAGCAGGCGTCTCCACCCCACGCTCCGCACGATCACAGTGGAACTCTGATTCATGAAATGTGTGTGTACGTGCACATGCAGGTGTGTCCATACACCTCTAAACAGGAGTGGCAAATCGTCTTCATAAGGGCTGTCGGCCACTGTAAGAAGCTGGACTGTTTCATGAAGTTCAGGTTTCCTGAAATGAACTGCTGTGACTCCAAAGGATCAACAACCGACTCACCCCTGATCTAGAGGCTCACTCACCCCTTGGCTCACCCCTGATCTAGACACTCGCTCACCCCTGATCTAGACACTCGCTCGCCCCTGATCTAGACACTCGCTCACCCCCTGGCTCACCCCTGATCTAGACACTCGCTCGCCCCTGATCTAGAGACTCGCTCACCCCTGATCTAGACACTTGCTCACCCCTTGGCTCACCCCTGATCTAAATGCTCATCCCAACTCGGTTTCCTGAACGGCTTTAAGCCCGATGAAGAAGCGTGAAGAAAAAATATTCCCTTCGTTCTGAAAGAGGTTTTGGCATTTCTCTGAGGGAAATTACAGAAAACTGGAGACAGAGCAGAGCCACCCTGAACACACTGCCCCAGACATACACACCGCCCTGGAAAGGGGGCTCCCACGGTATGTCCCCCACAGCGCCGGCACTTCAGAGCAGAAACCCTCTCCGCATGGGCTCAGATGACGGCTCCATTCATTCCTCTGTCCCAACAGGACAGGCACTAAAGAAAGGCCCTGGCAATTGACAGGTGAGACTACTACCCCGTCGCAGCTCCACTGGCCCCACAGCGCCCACCCCAGGAGGCACGTGGACTAAGCACCCAACAGCCCTATTTTAGCCAATAACAGCACCTCTTGGTACAGCCTCCGAGCATTTGCCAAATGAGCGACCAGGTGTGGAACGTCACTTTCTGGATACAGTGCTGAGCTCATCAAATGTGTACACTGAGGATCTCAGCCAGCTTTTGTGACCCCCAAGCTGAGTAACGACTTGAGTGGAACAGAATCTAACGTCTGATACTGGTCAGAGGAATTCTGTACGACAGAAGTTGGACGGGCAAGTGGCCATTCTTCTCAGCACTGGCAGGAAAGACCTATCTATGGGGCCATCACTAGTGTCACCAACACGAACACCGGGAATTCCCGCTGAGGAGTCGGCCCGTCACCGCGGAGGGCTGTGAGGTTTAAGGTTACCGTTTTCCTCCTCCTCGTCGTCCTCCTCGTCCTCGTCGTCCTCCTCGTCCTCCTCGTCCTCCTCCCCGTCCTCATCATCCTCGTCCTCTAGCTCCTCCTCCAGCTCCTCTTCCTCCTCGCGGTCCTCCTCCTCGTCCTCCCTCGGCTCGTCCTCCTCCGAGTCCTCCTCCTCCTCGTCCTCCTCCTTCTCGTCCGTGTCATCTGACCCGTCGCTCTCATAGCGCTCGTCCACAGAGGAGCTGTCCGCCTTCACCGCAAACGGCTTCCTCTTGGGGGCAGGCTCTTGGGGCTGCTTATCCTGTGTTTTTCTTTTTTTGGCCAAGGGGCAGCCATATACACTGTATTTGGGGGGGGGGGGAGGGAGAGAGAGAGACCTGATTACTGTCTTTGAATAGCAGAGCTTCAGGAGTCCTTGATCAGGGGAGCAAAGTTTAGCACGAGCGCGTCGCACAGAGGCCAGAGGTGCAGGCACGCCCATGCTCGTGCGTATACCACCATCTCACAAGCTGCTGGTGAGATTTTTACCAAGAAACCTGGCTTGGGTTTGTCTGGTTACATAAACATCAGGTCTGACCTCCCAGCCCCTCAGTACCACCCTCCCATAACAGCCCGAGGTTCCTATGAAACCCAGGGGCTGCACTATGAAGCACTTGGTGACACCACCCTGTGACCACACACATTCAGTGATGTGCACTGGAAAAGAAGAATTAGTCCCCACGCACTCTAAAGACACGTGATGAAACAGCATTGCATGGATTCGGATGTGTATAATCTACAGACATGATGAGCTTCTAGACATAGTGCCCCACAAACACACAAGTCTCACTGTGCAGAGGCCGGCCCCGCCCCCAGCACTGCAGAGCGAGCTTGGTGTTATTGGCAGTCACCACAAAACTGTGCTCGAACTGGCCTAAACCTGGGCGAGACCTTTCCAGCAGGGCTGACACAAACGCAGTTTTCCAAAGCTGCTGCTGGTTACGGCTTTCTTCCTGGACACGCATGTCTGTCCTGGGAGAAGCAGGGAGACAGAGAAGCCAGAGGGCTGTGAGCAGGCTCCATGGTCTAAACCAGCGGTTCTCAATCTGTGGGTCACGACCCCTTTGGGGGTCAAACGACCCTTTCACAGGGTCGCCTAAGACCATCGGAAAACACATATATAATCACATATTGTTTTTGTGATTAATCACGATGCTTTAATTATGTCCAATTTGTAACCATGGAATTGGGGTCCCCACAACATGAGGAACTGCATTAAAGGGTCGCGGCGTGAGGAAGGTTGAGAACTGCTGGTCTAAATGAAGACGTGTGGCCTCCGCACTAAGGGAGCTGGGAGGGGATCTTGGCCCCCGAATTATGTCTGGACCTGGTATCGGTGACATCTGCGTTCGGTCACGCCCGCCCAGCACATGGTCTAGGCACCTCTTCTGGGTGGGCTCTTAGCATCACTGGAGACTCAGAGGCAGAGACCCAAGTCCCCCCTCAGGCACCTCTGCCTGGGACAAGCCAGCACCACTGCTTTTGACCCGCTCCTCACCGCTCCCCTGGTGCCTGCACGCGGCCGCACGGTGGGCACTCAGCGAACAATTGTTGGACGAACGAACGACGTGATAAATATTATGCAAACGGCACTCTGCCATGAAAACAAGAGCAGCCAGTCCGGGAGCCGGGGAGGCCCCGCCAGGGCGGCGCTGGGAACGGCTTTGAAGGAGACGCACACGCTGCGTGGAGAAGAGGCTCTTCCCAAACACCTTACGCAAAACAGAGGTTGCACATGGACATAAGAAGGGAGACGGTTTCAGAAACGAGACTAGAAGCAGCTCTGGAGTCAGAGGACGAGGCGGCGGGTGGGCGTGGG